GCTGGTGGTGTGTGTGTTGGTGTCTGTATACATGCGCACACATCAGCAATAGGTTGGACTTGATGGACTTATGTCTTTATTCAACCTCAAATACTATGTTTGGCTGAACCAAATGGAGCCGAAGCTGGCCGATGTACGGCTGAAATCAGCTGTACTCAGCTGAAGTGAATAGCCAAATGGGGTTTGGCTCACTTCACTTCAGCTTGGTTATTCACTCGGCTACCTTAGGCAGCTTACTGAATAGTCCCCTAAGTTCTTTACAAATGAGGTTACTGATTGCATTGACTTTTTAACAATAAAGCCTGAGGGCACATAGCATACACAAATCATTTTTAAACCTGTATTTATCTTTTAAGCAGACCCGTCATTTAATTGTGAAAAAATAAAGTAAACTGGTATTTTATGGAAGTTGTCATTGTTGATATACAGTATTTCCTTTTGAAACAGCTAGTTACCTGGGTACAATGCAGATCCAATGTTTTTAATCTTACCTTAAACAAATAAAGAGATGAGGAGTTCTGACTTAACTCTGACTTTCTAATCCGCATGGTTGTTTCAGGTCAGTGAATGAGAAAGTATTTGGTGCAGTGACATCTAGTCAACTAGTATCCTTAGAAGGAGGTCAGGAATGACAGCCTCTGCTTTCCTCTCAGTACAGGTTTTATTTGACGTGAACCCCTGCTTTTACTGTGCATGGCAAATCAACTGGTCCAGTTAAAGTGACACTAAGCTCAGAAGTTAAGTCTTAAAAATGCATTCAAGTACCTTAACTATTAACCAAAATGTATCATATTTGTAGATCCTCAAATGAGGAGTTCTGACTTCACTCTGACTTTCTAATCCCCATGGTTGTTCCAGGTCAGTGAATGAGAAAGGATTTGGTGCAGTGACATCTAGTCAGCGAGTAATACTTAGAACGAGGTCAGGAATTACAGCCTCTGCATCACGGGGGCGAGCTCCAAGGTCGCCCCCGTGATGGACTACAATCTCATGTTTAGTTTAGTAATTGGTATTGAGATTGTAGTCCCTCACAGGAGCGAGCTTGGAGAGGTGGCTACTTTAAAACACCCACAGAAACCATAGAGAACAAAAGAAGCCACCCTCCAGAAGGAAGGACAGTGTCAGCATCAATTCAGAGATGATTTATGGATCTACAAATATGTTACAGCTGAGTGATAGACAAAAATTTGACATTTGTATTAATAGTTAAACGATAGTTAGATTATCTCTTGAGCTTAGTGTCACTTTAATTGTCACACTCCCCAGCTGCACATACTCACCTTCCTTTCTCCACCTCTCTGTTGCATTCTTTTGTTAAGAGCTGGTTCTTTCGGGTATGGGGAACATGTGGCTTGATCATTGGCTGGCCAAACACTGGTCATTGCCACCCAGAGGTCGAGAAAGACCTCAGCCCTGTGTTAGTTTTAATTGTTTTCCCTCCCAGTGCCTTAATGGAGTGGTGTACGAGGGAACTGGAGGTATGTGCAGCTGGGAAGGGGCAGCATTTAGTTGAGCCTGTGGCTTTGCCCTGCAGGAGCTCTAGGTAAAACATAAAAAGAAATGTGTGATTTAATATGGTACATTAACATCTTCTCTGTGTGATTAAATGCCAAAAGCATTATTTAAAGTATATATCACTTTTCCATCCAAATTTGGATAGCATCTATTTTATATTTGTCACATAGCATAACAATTTTTTTTAATTGCTGCCTTCATAATACAAGCTCTATTCTGATTTTTTTATTTTATTTATATGTATAATTTTTAGGTATAATGTGTGAATAGGCACACATAACCAACATATAGTGGGATTTCCTCTCAAAAGTGGAACGACACTTTAAACTAGCTTTTGATAGAGAACAAAACACAAGAACTGCTGCTTTTCATTATTCAGAAACAACTGAGAGACTGGTGCTGTGTAGCTGCAGAAGGTTTCTCAAATGTTCAATGAGCACACTCAGAAGATAGGCAGAACATCACTGCTTCATGCAAGCAGATTCAAGGTGACTATAGAAGGAAATATGGAAAGAACTCCAAACCTGTAGCCTGCAGTGCTTGTAGAGTATGTTTAGATACGTATTCTGTCCTTTTGCACTTTTATTGTTTTACAATCTGCAGGTGACATATAAGCCATCAATGATACATCCATGAAAAAAAGTTTGATTCCTAACTTACATAAACTATTCCTTCTGGACTCAAGTTAGCCATTTGAATAAGAAACTGTTGCTTTGTTTTCTGTTCTATAGGTGCAGTTAATTAATGATGCCTATCATCTAGTAGTGGACGCAGTGCTGGGGGTTGAAGCAAATAGTGAAGAAGGTAAAGAGCCATGGGCCACTATTTTGGCAATAATGAAACAGATAAAGATACCTATTATCAGTCTGGATATTCCATCAGGTGGGTACCTAACGCCTATTTTTTTAACATCAGAATTCACTGTGTGAGTTTTTAGATTCATAATTTTTATAACAATGTTTTAGCCACCCAGGATAAAAATGCTTGCTAGATGCAGTACAGGTGCTGTATGTGCATTACATCTATTGCCTCCTGTATATATATCAAAGTGCCTGATTTACTAAAACTCATGATGTTATTAGAGTGAGAACATATTGTTGAATTGGGTTTCATTTAAAAACATTTGATGTAAAACATGCCAAAATAGGAAGTGCAAAACAATGTAATCCTTTAATAAACACGAGTTAAAAATACATTTGATTACTGTTTATGTGGGCTGATATTTGTAAGCATTTACCTAGCTCTATGCATGAACTCACTAGAGATGTTTTTCTAAAAAAGTAAATTTTTCACTTAGCCAAGTAAACTCCAAAAACTCATTCTTCTGCGGAGGATCTTTTTTTAAACAGTAATTTCCTTTGCATATGGTTGCATGATTGAAGTGAATACTGCTTCACTGTGCTATGCAAAATGTTATCCTTTAGTAAATGAACCCCAATGAGTACTAGATGTATTAAACAGACATGGTAACACAAATGTGCGTTCATCATATTCTATATAGTAGTCTAAAGAGTGTGTACTTTTTCCTGTAGCCCTTGCTAACACAAATAAACAGAGATTTTTCATAAACTAATCCAAAGCCAATTTTTTTTAAAATAGAATTATAATCTGTCCCTTGGTTCTCAAGCAAAACTATGGCCAACCAGTGATGATAAATATAACTGGAAAGTGCACAAATATATCAGTAATTTAAAATGTTCAGCAGTTTGAGTCACAAAGATTAGTAGCAGCAATGCAAAATGAACAAACTGTTTTGCTTACGAGCTCTTGGAGAATAGTCTCCACATATCCTCAATTTTTTTTTTTTTTTAACAACAAAAGAGTTATGGAGGCATGTGAAATATGCATTCAGTATTTAGTAGCATAGGATAATTTAGAAGCAAACACCAGAGATTTTTTACATTTAGAGGTTAAGAGTGAAGGTCACTGTTTGGAGATTGTTTTTCTGTACCTCATTTTTATGGCTTTGATGGGACTCTCTAGAGTAAGGAACTATGAGATGAGAGGCAGTAGACATGATGTCATGTGAAAACACTGCGTTGCCCATCTGCATCTGGAAATCCATTCAACAACAGGAAGAAAGAATGAACTGAGAGAATGAATGAATAAAATTTCAGCGAGATTGTTTCACAGTTGATTATTTATTCCATCTCTTTCTGTCTACCTTGTAGTAACAAGAATCAGAGTAATACTTCACTAATGCCCCTAAACAGAAGCTTTTCTGTCCAGCATTTATAATGATATCTAATCCCTAATAGCTTAGTCATTACTCCTACTGCATAGTTATCACACATATTTTGGTTGTAAGTTAACAAAATTCATTGGTCAACAACTTTTTTGGCTCATGCTACTCAAATTCTTTGTTCTGTCTATCCGAGCATTATGTTAATTACAGAGTTGTCCAAAGATCAGTCGTAGTAGGTACTACAACCAGTCATCCTGTATGCTTACCCAGGTTCACATACCGTATAAGACATTAATTCAACTGCCTGATGTGGCATTCTGGTGAGGATTGGGACATTTAGGCATGTCCAGTCTTTCCTTTGTCTAACTGAGAAGAATGAGGGTGGTAGTGATCGCAAATGTGCTGTTTCTTCTCACTAAAAAAATGACACAGTAATCAGTACTGGTGCAATGGGGGACAGACAGATGTCTCCCTACATGCTATCTTTGGGTAGATATCCGTCTGCCGGTGCTTAGCCTGATTCTCTTCCATCTGCCAGTTAGGGAGGTCCTAAAGATGTTTGCCTGGCCCTCAAGAACTGGACTTGTGCACCCCTGCATTAATCTACTTTGACATGTATTAGGATTAGGGATGTTTTTCTCTGTTGACAGAGCAAACTACTCTTTATCAAATTTTTAGACGTTATAGTATAACTGTGCCTATGTAAAAAAAAAAAACAACCATCCCGTAAGATGCACACATACCGCACTTCTTATAACTCTGTCCTGCCCAGGTCTATGAATGGAATGCAAGTATAAACAGTATTTTGTCCCCAGATTAGGAAGTAAGGGGGAATCTCTCCAACAGAGCTCTAGATGGCAATAAGAACCCTTCCCCACTAAAAGGTTTTGGCTATAGATATACTTTACAGGAAACTAGTACTAAGAGAAATTGCTATTGCTGACCTCCTCCTAGTTGCCTGGCTATCTCCGGTTTTAATCATGTGAGACATGGACCTGGAACAAGCATGCAGGCTGAAGGCAAAACCACTGCTAAGCCTACTTATTGCAGGTCAATGACTCAGAACATGCTGAAGACACTGCATCAGCATGACAGTAAAATAACTAGCATTTTAATCATCAGAGGTTAGTAATTGATATCTCCACATTTCCTCAATACATCTGAGCAGTTGAGTGGCCTTGTGTAGATGGACCTATACATAAATGAAAAACAGGAACCCAGAGCAGGTAGACTGAGTCCTCTGTATGCAACCCAAGGATTCAATTTAAAATGTCTAGACTATATCTTTATTGCATGCATTACTACAATGTTGTCTGTTACATGGTCAGTTTTATTAATTGAGTGTCTCTGTTTGCCAGACTGGGATGTGGAAGCTGGAAATACTGAAGGCATTAACCCTGAGGTGCTCATTTCCCTGTCTGCGCCCAAGAGATGCGCCGTTCAATTTTCTGGAAAACACCATTTTGTTGCGGGGAGGTTCCTTCCCTATGATATACACAAGAAATTTGAATTGAACCTACCAAAGTATTCTGGGACAGATTGTGTGGTGGAGATTTAGAATGGAAAAGTCTGTTTTTGAAACTGAAATCTGTCAATAAATGTATACATTTTCTGTATTGTACTGAGTTTGGTGTTTTTAGTGAAGTGGGAGGCTATGATTTGTATTCAAAGAGCTCTCTCTGTTAAAGGGAAATTATGATGGTTTTGAATCTTTTTTTATTCATATACATTTTAAACTGATATTTTATATTTTTGCACTCTTTATTTTAAAAACAAACATTTACAGGCTTATTCACAAAAGGGTGAAGAGTTTGCAGAAGTCAGGAGAAGTGAACAATCTAGGACAAAATAGCTGAACTGGAAAGTGAGCTGAATTGGAGAATTATTCCAAATCAGATATTTTGGCCTAGATTGTTCACTTCTCCTGCCTTCGCCAAACTCTTCACCCTTTTGTGAATAACATTGTTAGTATACACCATACTAACAACACTGGGGTCTTACATCAATATTGACCTTGTAAAAAGAGAACATTGAGGAATCGGTTTGCTTTCACACTGTCTCTTTCTAACTGAATTTTTCCTCTAATTAATTCACTAGTGGGTGTATACTTGAGCTTGAGCTATAGTGGGTTAACAAAGGGTCACAACAATACAGCCAAGGTTGTTTGAAATAAGCCCTGTGTTCCTGCTTGCTGGAAATGTAAAAAGGAACTATTCTTACACAACACTGCATATATTCCTAAATTAAAACATGAAAAATTGTTTTACAAATTTATTTATTTTTAGTCCTAACCATACCATTTAGTCCCAAGCAAATAATATACATTCACTTCACATTTAGGAAAGTCTGTTACCTGAATTAATGTTTATTGTAGAAATAATATTGAAGAATATCACTGAGAGTCTATTTATAAATGTTTCTAAACACGATTCACGCAACATTCACATATGTTCCCAAGATTATCTAAAATGCCCAGAGAACACAACCTTGCTGTAATTTTAGAAAATCTGTAAGTTTGTTAATAAAAATGCTTTTGTGATCAGGAATCTTTTGGAAATATACAGTATCTACTCTTTGCATTTTCAACCATATTATAAATATTTCATGTGTCTGTATCAAACAAGTCTGACAAGTACAAAATATGAAAATGGCTACTGTGAAGCAAAACGACACAGAATCTTTAAGGAGGTTTACATTGGACTTCTACTTTTTATAATATATTCCTCTATCTGCAAATGTCAATCAAAAAATATTTAAACATAAAAAATCCAATCCTAGCATATGTTTATGTGAGTGCTTTACCTAGATAAGTTTATCTTTATAGAAATTGGTTGATATCAGAGTCTCTGTAGTGTATGTCAGAGTAAAGGAAAAATCTCTCCAATACTTGCACATTTACCATTCTCAAAAAAGGTCATAACTTCTAAGTCCTGTTGTGGGCTGACAACACACAGCATTTTTGTGGACTGAGACTACTCAAACATTCCCCCTAACCTACTGTCCACAACATACAGACTGATCATTTTGTAGTTCCAAGATAAGGATTAGGATGGGTTTATTAGACTCCTTGGGATAACACAGGCAGCGTCTGACATAATATACAGGTGAGATGCGTCCCAAGCTATTCATCACTCCAGTCGCATCACTCGCCCCTCTTCACAGCACATATAGTAGTTGGTATTCATTCAAACAAACATACATAGAGAATTCTTCTATAACCATACAACACTGCAGGCAACACTTATGGCAGACAGGATAATGTAATGCCATACATACGCAGAAAAACACAGCACTCTGTTCTTGTGAAGTACGTAATAGGGCCCTTTTTTCAGAGCATCTGGAGAAAGGGAGTGGGGCCCCAAAAAAAGGTCCAGCTGTTTTTAGAATTAGCCGCTTATAGCTACTATGAGATGCCTGTGGTGGTCGTTGGACATTAACCCTCCCTCAACCTCCGGTTGCTTGGCTGAGATTTTTGCAGATTGATTTGATCTTTATGTTTGTGACTATCATTCTTAATTGTATCTAAGTATCATTACATACGGGTGTGCTCTGTGTTTTTCTAGTCTGCTTGAATTTTGGCCGAGTCCTGCTAAGCCGGCCAAAATTCGAGTAGCATGTAGCCTTATCGGGACAAACCAATCAGCTTCACTGGGGGAATTCATAAAAACTGGAGCAGACAGAATCTGGAGCAGTTGCCTATGGTGACCAATCAGCTTCTCTGTTTCAAGTTCAAAGCTTAACGGAACAAGCAGAGGAGAGAAGCTGATTAGTTGCCATAAGAAAACTGTGTGCTCCAGTTTTCATGAATTCCTCCCACTGTTTGGATATTATGACAGCACACTAAATAGCATGAATAAGGGAATCAAGAAAGTCTGTTTTCTTCATAACATGCAAAACTCGGTGCCCCTTACCATGTGTAGATGAGAAACCTAAGTGACACATATAGTATACACACCTTCCAGTCAGCGCCTCACAATATATACATAAACTGTGTAAAACGGATGAAAAGCTGTCATGTAAGATTACCATTATTGTCATTCCTTGTGCATTATAAACCTCTCAGATTTAGGTTCCATCATTTTAAAACTGAAATGTAATCTAATAATTGAAAGCTTCAGTGACTGCCATTAATTGTTGGTAAATAAATGTGATTTGAACCACATGAGATCACTTCTTACAGAGGTGTAAAAGGAAATAGAACATGAAAGCCACAAGTCATGTAAATGTGAAACTATTACCCGGCCTGTTGAAGCCAGTGAGGACTATAAATTGTGGAGAATCCTTGCAAGATGACATATTTGTGGCATTGCATAAACACATTATATTGGTCTCATGTCTGGTGATGTAAAACCTTCTAGGTGCTGGGAGCAAGGCATTATTTTTAAAGACAATGACAGCACAGTCGTGGTTTTGCATTTATGTTACTACATATCATCTCAGCCCACAGGTGTGGAGGTGCTTATATCCTTCTTCTTAAAAACTGTCTGACATACTATATGTAATTGTTAAAACTCCAAGCCAAGATGAAAGGCACAAATAAGTGCAGATCTTCATTCATTAATGAACATTAATTCAGCAATCATTTGATTTTTTTTTTTTTTTTAAATACAAGCAGTGTAAGTCCCTAAATGTGTCTTAAATTAGCCACTTACAGTCTACTGCAGGGCTAGGCAACCTTGACACTCTGGTTGTTGTGGAACTACAAGTCCTATGAGGCACTGCAAGGCCCTGACAGCCACAGGCATAACTCCCAGTGGCATGATTGTATTTCACCACAGCTGGGGTGCTGAGGTTGCCGACCCCGCCCTACCAGAGCTCAGACAGGGGATGAAGAAGCAGAACAGGAGACAATTAGGATGGCCAGGGCAGCCTTCAGAAATTTTGGGGCCCCTTACACGGCTTTAGGCCGGGCCCCCACCCCCCCCCGCACCGCCCGGTCGCAACAACCACCTCATCGTCAGGCCCCTTACTTGCGTATCGGCCGTACCCCCCTGATGGCGGCCCTGAGGATGGCATCAGTGCAAGGAGCATGCTGATAAGTAGGGAAGAGCTCAGGTTTCGACCTATGGCACTTCCACCTAAGCAGCTGTGGGTAAGGCTTCCCCACCCCACAGCTGTAAAAGGGGTGGGATGCTTGTGCTGATGTCATTTACCTAAAATGGCCACATAGTCATATTAGATGAATATCATTTATACAGTGGCGTCACAAGGGGGGTGCGACCCGCAACCGGGTGACACCATTGTGAGGGGTGACACCAAAATGACTGAGAGCCATTCGGTCATGGACCCAGAACCTGACAGTATCAGGAGAGGAGGGAACCCGGCAGCATACCTTATTTCGCCCGGTGAACGTTCCCTCCTCTTTTACCAAGATGGTCGCCGGCAGGTATCAATAGGATAGCTGCGCATGCACGATGACGTCACCGCGGGGTGTCACCTGGTATCCGCTCCAGGTGACACCCGGCCTCTGGACGCCCCTATATACACTATATTCACAAAAGTATTGGGATACCTACCTTTACACGCACATGAACTTTAATGGCATCCCAGTCTTAGGGCTTGTTCACACCATTTCCTGGTCCAGATCTGGCGCAGATCTGCAGACACGTGTTCCGGACGCATTCCAGTTCCTTTTTTTTGTGGAGTGGGGCTGTCAGCTGTTAACTGCAGTGCGGTGCGTTTTCTGCGCTTTTTTGTTGCGTTTGACGTGTCCGTGCGTTTTTCCGGACCGGAGAAAATGTGACATGCAGTATTTTTGAGAGAACTGGAGCCCATAAAACACATAGGGATACATTGGTATGCATTTTAAGTGTAGGAGCGAACGGTCCTGCTCCAGACAGAATCCGGACATCGTGTGAACAAGCCCTAAATCCGTCGGGTTCAATATTGAGTTGGCCCACCCTTTGCAGCTAGAACAGCTTCAACTCTTCTGGGAAGGCGCCTACAGGGTTTAGGAGTGTGTCCATGGCAATGTTTGACCATTCTTCCAGAAGCGCATTTGTGAGGTCAGGTACTGATGTTGGACGAGAAGGCCTGGCTCGTAGTCTCTGCTCTAACTCATCCGAAAGGTGTTCTATCAGGTTGAGGTCAGGACTCTGTGCAGGCCAGTCAAGTTCCTCCACCCCAAACTTGCTCATCCATGTCTTTATGGACCTTGCTTTGTGCATTGGTGCACATTCATGTTGGAACAGGAAGGGGCCATCCCCAAACTCTTCCCACAAAGTTTGGACCATGAAATTGTCCAAATTGTCTTGGTATGCTGATGCCTTAAGAGTTCCCTTCACTGGAACTAAGGGGCCAAGCCCAACCCCTGAGAAACAACCCCACGCCATAATTCCCTCTCCACCAAACTTTACACTTGGCACAATGCAGTCAGGCAAGTACCATTCTCCTGGCAACCGCCAAACCCAGACACGTCCATCGGATTGCCAGACAGAGAATCGTGATTCGTCACTCCAGAGAACACGTTTCCACTTCTCTAGAGTCCAGGAGCGGCATGCTTTACACCACTGCATCCGCCGCTTTGCATTGCACTTGGTGATGTAAGGCTTGGATGCAGCTGCTCGGCCATGGAAACCCATTCCATGAAGCTCTCTATGCACTGTTGTTGTGCCAATCTGAAGGCCACACGAAGTTTGGAG